TGCCCCGCCCCCCCCCCCCCCCCCTGAAAGTACATTGAAACCTAAATCATTACCCTCTTTTTTCTATTATTTATTCCCAGTTGACTCTGACTTCTTCTGTTCCTTTCCATTCTACTTTGACCAACCTTCAATGTTCCCCTCTTTTTTATTTTCGTTTTTTCGATCTTGGAAGTGGGTGAGGTTTTTATTTAAAAATATATTAAAATAATATTATTTTTTTAAATTAAGACCTTAAAATGATCAAGAATAAATTAATTTTAAATATTTTAAAAAATATATATGTAATTGGACCGCTTCCAGACACCCTCCATAAATTCTAAGAAGTAACAGGTCTCATATCGTGTTCTTTACTCCCTTTACCAAGACTTTACAGGGTCCCTGATTAATTATTATTAACTTCAAATTTGTATCCATATTATATACTATACTGTTCTACGCATAACCTAGAAGCCAGCTGTTTTTTTTTAAAAACTAATACTATTTAACTTGAAAGGTACTAAGGTATTTTGGGGTATATAATTTTGTTTGGCACTGAGGTCAAACTATATTCTTAAAAAAATTAATTTTTTTAATTAATAATATTTAACTTAAATGGTGTTTGGTGTATATAATTTTGTTTGTTATTGCAGTTAAATTATATTTTTTAATTTTAGTTTTTTATTTTAGTTTGAAATTAATGTTTTTTATTATTTTATTATACTAATATTAAAAATAACTTTTTTAAAAAATATTTTTTAATATATTTTAAACTAAAATATATTTTGAAACATAACATTTATAATACCCACCTGTAATCATAAAATGTTCTAGGCATGACCTTATATCTGATTAAAGATGTACGAGTGCTTAAAAATATAGCAAGCATGCATAAAAATAATAATATATAAAAATAAATTTTAGAAGATATAATTTAATTGTTTAGATCTGGAATTTGAATTTCATAAATTTTAAAATCATTAAAGATTGATATAATTGTTAACTTTAAACATGTAAGATTAATCAAAATACATATAAACTAACCTGAAAATTCAAGTTAATAAAAAAATTAACATATAGAAATAATACCAAAAAAAAAACAAACATAAAAAATATTTTGAAAATAAAAAATCATATAAAACTTTAATTCAAAATTTTATTATTAAATATTTTATATTTAGTTTACAAATCCTTAAATTAACTTAAAAAGGTATTTTTTTTTGTAGAGAGGAAACATGATAATGCTTTTGTATGAAACTGCGAAGTAACTTGGCTTCTTCTGTCTTTTCCCTTGCTCTTTCTGTTGTCGTAGTTTGATCAATCAGCAAATGGCGAATATGAGAAGGCATGGGCACTAGAAATATGCTCAGGAGTATGATATGCTGCCTTCTTTGCTTTGTTGTGAAGTATCTTTATACATTATACTGCCCCTTGTTTGCAAGAATGTTCAATGTCTTTTCATTCAGTTACAGAGAGGGGCCTTTTGGGAGTGACTGACTCCCGTTATGATGAACTTATCATGTGAAATTAACCACTCTTGTTGCCATAGAAGAAAATTTCCGAATTCAACAAACTCTAATAGCTTCTTCTCCACTGTTTCCTTTTCTGTAGTTATATCCAACAGCTGTGAGGGCAACTGGGTGCCGGAGTTGCAGATGCTGTAGGGTGGACCGGTGGAATGGTGTCCCCTCTTGTGGCAGTTGAACTAGTTGCCAGTTGCCGTATTACGGAAGCTATAAATCTTCTATTTCAGCAGTCCGTGTCCCGCACTTCCCATTGAGTGACAGTGTGGACGTATCCGATTAGAAACAAGCATTGTATAAAGAAAGTGTTTTCTGCTAGATTTTTCAAAATAAAAAGTGAAATCATCTGCTAAGTTGTTCTCCATTAAGAGGGAGTGATGCTCTGCCAATGTCAATGTATCATGATCGTTGAAATCAGATAGACACCCCAATTCATTACATTTCGTAGGTCGATGAAGAAATCTGATTGACATAATTTGCTTCTATCATGTTCATATCCCAGGAGTTGAAGATGTTTCATCTCTCCTGCCGCTGAATTCCTGTTGAGCTAAACCAGCAGAAACTGACATGAAAAGTCTTCTAAACTCAAGGACTTGCAGTTCTTCATTTCCTAGTTTCTTAAAATATTTCAAAAGTATATTCTAATAAGATTGTACTAGGAATTTGTTATGATTCGATTCCAGGACCATGGCTAGCACAAAAATAAAATTCTCTTTCAACGTTCTATATTCATGTAAATCCAAACTTACATACAAATTTATACTTTAAATAACTCAATTAAAGTATAATATAATATTAATAATAAAATTAAATTTATAATATAATTTAATTATTTTAACACGAGTTCAATACAAACTTCTGTAATTATAAAGCACTAACTAGACTTAAAGAAAAAATATTAATTATAGTTAAAAAAAAAATTTGAAGGTTCAACAAAAATGATATGTTAACTATAAGCTTAAAAAAAAAGGGTGAATTCAACAACTTAATTAGTAGTAGATAATTAATATATACACATAAAGAAATACAACAATAAGGAATACACACACACACCAAATTATTGTTCTAGGTTCTTATAAGAAAGTAGGGGTGAGCAAAAAAACTGCAAAATTGATTAAACCAAAAAAACTGAAAAAATTAAACCGTGAAAAAAATTGATTAAATTGATTATAATTTCAAAAAAACCGATCAGTTTGGTTTTATAAACCTGAAATAAAAAAAAATCAAACTAAACCGAACCCAAACAAAAAGAACAAGCCAAACCAATTTGAACCATACTTTTTCTAAAATGACCAAACCAAACTGAAACTAGTCAATTTGAACCGATTCTAGTTTGATTTTGGTTTTTTAGAAAAAAAACCAGTTTGGTTATTTTTTTTTATAAAAATCAACTGAACTGAAAATGATCAAACCTATAAAAAAATTTCTCAAATAGATCATAATAAAAATATTATAAGGTGAAAATTAAAATATAATGAGCATAAGGTTTTATATTGTGAAATGATTAGTCCATATAGATTGATGACTCCCTCGACAAAATAGGATTCAGATATGATGTGCATAAAAACTAATACTATCCTATTAGCATAAGTATTCTTATAAGTATACCAAAGGTTCATATCATAATCAAATAGACAAATTTATATCTCAAAGTTCAACTTATAACATCAATCTAATGAGAAGTTATCAATTCAGAAGTCAATTTAAAAGTATATATTAGCTCATATCAAGAATTTAGATTCAATAATTGATCATATTTTATCGTAATAAGGATAATAATCAACATATATATTATCAAAAAATAGGATTCAATTTATATTAATAATTTTAATATTTATACCATTTCTTATATATATGAAAAATTATTCATTTACCTAACTCAAAAGCGAATATAATTCAAAAACAGATACTGAAAGAAATTGAATACAAAAAAAAACATACCAGAAATTAAAAATCTAACTCATAACATTATACGTTAATGAACCAAACTAGTCATTTTTTACAAAAGTTAAATGGTTTTCTAGAAATTTAATTCAAAGAAAAACAAATTATAAAACATGATAACAATTCACCAAATAACGCTCAATACTCATCAAACCAATCTAAAAAAATAAGATTACAACTAAAGATCAATCTGGAATTTTATCAGATTTTTAGGGGTCTAATTGTAATTTTATCAGATTAAAGGATCAAACTGAAAATATCATAAATTAATAATTATACTGAAATTTTATCCATAATTTATCCTTATTTCTATCCAGAATCTTGAATTATACTATAATTTTTTTTAAAATTCAAAGACTAAACTGTAAATTTTATAAATTAAGAGACTAAACTGAAATTTCATCATCTTCAACCCTAAATCTAGATTTTTTTATGGATCAACTATTGATTTACTAAGATATCTAACTCAATTTCATTATTTAAACAAATCACATCTCAAAATCATCATCATTGCTCAAAATCAATTAAATAAATCATTATCTATAACAATTAATCTATAATATTCTAATCAATTTATCAATCAAATTGATAATAAAATCTTCAAAACTCTAATCTTCATGAAAATAAAATCAAAGATAAATAACACAATCATACACATCAAAATATAAATCTTATATTTTAAACTTATTTTATCACACTCTGTTCTCCTTCCTTTATCATTTTCTCTTTTATCTTCTTCTTCTTTGCCCCTTTCTGCTCTCAAATCATAATATTCTAATAAATTCTAATACGTTATTTTATTATCTTTTCAAATGAAAAGGATACGAGGCAGATATCATTTTATAATACCCCTTTGTCTACTTGGTTATATTTCTGGCCCCACCAGCATTATTTTTCATCGGACTTGTTTTCATTGGCTATCAAGTAAATATTGTGTTCGTGCTCGGTGGTGCGTGTTTTTCCTGCTAGTAAGTAAAAGCTTTCATCATCAATTATAACCCCTCTTAAAAGGTATCATATTTCCAGTAGATTAATGGTGCTTACTAATTTTCTCTTATTGAAACCACAACTTTTGTGTGTTATCAGATAGTGATTTATTGATTTGCAGTTATGCCCATGAATGAATCCGCAGAGAGCTCTATCAGGGTAAGCACAAGCTTCTTTGATGATCGAAAATTGATGTCTTTACTGGAATATGATCATTTTTTATTTATTTACTTCTGTCATCTTTGGTTCTTCCTGTATTTATAATACAGGTGGATGGCGAAAGCCCAGTGTGCAGTCTAGATGAGGCTCTTACTTCTGTGGGGTTTGGGACATTCCAAGTGCTTGCTTACGCTTGGTTGGATTGCAGAAGCAATGGAACTTATGATTCTATCCTTGGTGGGACCCGTGGTTAAGTCCCAGTGGGATCTCTCCCCAGGCCAAGAGAGTCTACTATCAACCGTTGTTTTTGCTGGCATGCTTGTTGGAGCATTTTCTTGGGGCCTTGTTTCGGATTACTATGGAAGGAGGCAGGCCATTTTCCTCTTATTTCCTTCCATTCTGAGATGCTTTGCCTTGGTAATAATGGTCATGAAGAGCAAATGATTTCCAATTATGTAAACCTGATCTGTATTCTGTGAATACCCTTTCTGATTTTTAGTTATAACTTACAGTCAATAACATTTTCCTGTTAGTTCTGACATTTATGCTATTTTTTTCTTGCTGCTTCAAGCTTCCTCTTATTTGTTGTCTTGATCTTATATATATTTCTGACTTCATTTAGCTTTTCCAGGAAGGGTTTGCTGGGACCAACTATTCTTACTGGCGGAGCTGGATTATTCAGTACTTTCTCCCCAAATTACGTATCCCTGTTGATTCTTCGCTGCTTGGTTGGCGTTGGCGTTGGCGTTGGCGGGACGACTGTTTTCTGCTCCTGGTTTCTAGAGTTTGCTCCCTCCTGGAATGCTTGTTTCTGATAGTACAATTGGACTGGATGAAGAATCTTCTGCGTCAGAATATACCCCTCTACTCTCGTCAACTAGAAAAATAAATCTGGATTTTGGATCAGGCTTCTCATCGTTTGTTATGCTTTTCTCATCAAAACTAATTCCAACGACGCTTTTTGTATGGGTGTTACACTTTTGGAAAAATATTCTCTTTTTATGGTATGTTGTTGCTGGCTTCAGAACTAAGTAGGGAGCAAAGCAAAAGTGGCTCGAGCACTGTCTTGCGATCAGAAAATCTTCAGGATGACAGCCTCCACGTAGATGTATTTATTACTAGTTTGGCAGGTATTGCATGCACCGTCTCCTCCACCTGCACTTAAGGTTGAGGTTTGAGGAATCCTCCATGACATGAAATGTTTACTTTCTTTTTCTTTTTCTTTCTATATATATGCATACATGTATCATCCGAAGCAATGACCGGGTAGTATGTTTTCCTGAAACTCTATGTTGTAGAGATTCCTGGGCTTATTCTGTCAGCAGTTGTTGTGGATACAATTGGACGCAGGCTCTCGATATCATTCATGTTTGCCTCAGCTTGTATTTTCCTCTCTCCTCTGTTTTACCATCAATCTGCAACTTTAACAACAACATTGATGTTCGGAGCTCGCATGAGTAGCAGAGTACTCTCCACGCTTGCTACAATATATGCTCAGGAGGTAAGCCCTGGAATTCACGCATTTCGTTGTATCCGAAGGTGAATGGTAGTACTTGCCAGTTCTTTTCAAGTTTCACACCTACTAGCGGTCAGTGTTGCATGGTTCTGAATAATTGATTGTCTTGGATATGCTGTTCCTGCGTTATATCCAACGGCTGTGAGGGCAACTGGTTTTGGGGTTGCAAGTGCTGTACGGAGGGTTGGTGGCATGATAACCCCCCTTGTAGCGGTCGGACTAGTGACCGGTGGCCATCATACAGAAGCTATCATCCTGCTAGACATTGTGATGGCTATGTCAGGACTCTGTGTCCTGCTCATCCCAGTCCAAACCAAGGGACATGAATTCAGTGACAGCGTAGATGTATCTGATTCAAAACAAGTTGTTGCTGCCGGGCAGTAATCTCAAACCCAATCAAGCATTGTATAAAGGAATGTTTTCTGTTAGACTTCCAAAACACCAATGCAAATCATCCGCTAAGCTGCTCTGCATTATGTGGGAGTAATGGTTCCCCCAATGTAAATCTCGTTTATCTCCGATTGCTTCTCCACCACTCTTTTTTTCTTTTGCTCGAAATCTTCTCTACCTTGTAAGATATTACATTAGTGCCCGCACCTTATGGTTATTTTTCAAAATATTTTTTATTTAAAATAATATATCTTTTAAAAAAATATATTTCTAGCACCAATCCATCAAAATCATTCAAATTTTTTTTTTCTCATGTAAATCTCATCATTTGATCCCGACTAAGCAGAATGCTGATTTACATAATCTGCTTAACACCCCCAAACTGTTTTTTTCTGGGAGCGGATAATTAATCCCATCAGGAAATGAGAGAAGTCTTCTCATGGCAATCTCATCATGCTATCAATCAGTGGCTCGGGTTTCTGCCACTGACATGGTCAATATTCCTTCACGACCTTTAGAGCTTGAAAAGCTAGCCCCGCCAAAACCTTGTAATTTTCTTGTTTGGCCCAGCAGCATCAGCTTTATGTCCCTGTTTATATTCCAATGAAAAGAATATGGGAGTGGGGACCCAACGCTGCCATTTCTTCTTCATAAAATATGTATTGTTACTGTACCTGTTGAGAGTGTTCTTCTGCAGATGAGGTATTGTTCCTCTTATAGTCAGATGATCTATCTATTTTCTACTAAACCCTAAACATAAAAATATGTATAAATCAACATATATAAAAAAAAACAATTTATACTACCTGTTGATAGAATATAGACTTGAAGATATATATCTAAACAACAATCCATTTATTATATGTCTTCTAATAAATTGAAATATTGTTACTTAATCTTTTATTTTTGGTATAAAAAGAAAATTACATACTACTCCTTGCAAGGAGCACGAGGTTTTGACAAAAAGAAGAAGCAAGAGGAGTTCTTGGAAAGACAGATAGTTGCTTTTTTCTTATGAACCGTGTCAAAATTATATATATTGAATTTTTGCCGTATTTTTAAAATAAATATATATAATTTTAAATATATAAAAATTCAAATAAAATAAATTTAAAAAATTATTTAAAATAAACCCCCCATGAAAAAACACCTATTAAACTCGAGCTTCATAGCTCAAGCCTAATATATAATAAGAGACCTAGAAGAGTGGGATCAAATGTGGTAGTCTAAGTTTAACTCTTTAATTTTCAACAAAACCAAAAATTAAAGCTAAATAATATAATTATATACATCAAATCACAAATTTTACCTTTTAAAATTATTTTTTCTAAGTCTCTTTTTCTTTTTATTTCTCTCTTTTTATATATATTTTTTTTCCATTTCTTCACTTCTGCCAGTTCTCTCTCTCTCAAAAGAGATTTTTTTTATTTATATTTATTAAGCTTTATTCAATTACCACAATACTCCTTATCCATTTATACCTCCTTCTAAACCTCTATCAACATTGTTATATTTATCTATTTAGTTTTTCAAAACATCACACCAACACCCTATGAATTTAGGGTTTCGCACCTAAGCTCAAACTCAGATTCGAGAGTGCACCTCGAGTTTAACATATTTGGGTCCAAACAGTGTATCTGCATCTAGTTTTTATTTTTAATGGGCTCAAGCCGAACACTTGTTAGAGATTTTTTTAGAAATTCACACGAATTTCTAGGTATTTTATATGAATTAAATATATATTATTTTTAAAAAATATAACTCAAAATATTATAATAATAAAATTACACTTCATCTCTTATTCTCCACAAAAAAAAATCATAAGTTATAAACATATAGTAAATCTTTTAAATTATAGGTTTATAAAAATTTATAAATCTTTTTATTTTTAATATTTTTAATACATATATTTTCAAAATTTATACTTTTTCTCTTTATAAAATTATTAATTTTATCATTAAAAAATCAACATATCCGTTAAATAAAACTTTTTGCAAGTAATCCCTGCTAATTACTTGATTTTCCAAGCTTTCACCTGCTACCAATTCATAGCGGTGTGATTTCCGTATAAGTCATTTAACACGTTGACTAAGAAAACACCTTAACTAAAAAAAAAAAGATGAGCCATGTTGCTTGAAGAAAGACATTCAATCAATTATCCAACACGAGTGATTCGGGACTCATCACTTTTCATTCACCTAACACGAGGAATGCTCAATATATTGGGTGGGTGCAGCATGACTTAGTTTGATAGCATGTTTGGTTTTGTTTGATTCTTGTCCGGGCAGTAAAAATAAATTGTAAGACTCCATGTTTATCCATTTCTGAAAGGTATCATCATTTTTTCCTTTAGTGTTTAAGATTAGTAATTTCTTCTTATAATTATTACAGTTTTTTTTTGCGATTGATTGTGATAGCATGTTTGATTTATAACTAGTTTGAAGCTATGCCGGTGATTGAAGCTGAGAGTTCCATCGGGGTTAGGGGGGTAAGCACAAGTTTCTTTGACCATCACATATCAAATCCATAATAAGGTTTTGATTTCTTTGTTAATTTATTTGATCACCATTTATATACATAGATGGATGATGAAGCCCCTGCATACACTTTGGATGAGGCACTTGCCTGTTTGGGGTTCGGGAAATTCCAAGGTCTGGTGCTTGCTTATGCTGGTCTTGGTTGGTTTGCAGAAGCAATGGAGCTTATGCTTCTCTCTTTTGTTGGTCCAACTGTTAAGTCCCAGTGGGGACTCTCCTCAGGTCAAGAGAGTCTGTTATCAACAGTTGTATTTGCTGGCATGCTTGTTGGAGCTTATTCTTGGGGCCTTGTCTCTGATAACTGTGGAAGGAGGCAAGCCATTCATTTCTCCCTCCCTTGTCTCTTTCAATGTTTGTCTCCTTGCTATTTGTTAATGGCCTGCTTCTATCACATATAAAGCAGAAAATCCTATTGTATCGACGTGCATATTGTTAATGACTTCTCTGCTTCCACTGGCTCTTCCAGGAAGGGTTTCCTAGGAATTGCTGTGCTGACTAGTGGAGCTGGACTTTTGAGTAGTTTCTCCCCAAATTATGAATCTTTGGTGATATTTCGTTGTTTGGTTGGCTTAGGCCTGGGTGGCTCAACTGTACTCTGCTCCTGGTTTCTAGAGTTTGTTCCTGCTCCACACAGAGGGAAATGGATGGTTGTCTTCTCAACTTTCTGGACATTGGGTGCAATTTTTGAGGCTTCACTTGCATGGGTGTGTTTTGTCAATTTCCTCGCTTTTCGATGGTTATCCTAACTGTGGGAGATAAATAGGAAACCTAAACTAGATCAGAATTTATAGGAGAGAAGTTCAGAACCTAACATTCATTCTCTAGCATACATCTTTCTTATGTGGAAATTCTTCTCTTTTGACAGCTTGTCATGCAAAGATTGAGTTGGAGGTGGCTACTTGCATTCTCTTCTCTACCATCAATTGCTCTTCTTCTCTTTTATGGTATTGTACCAGAATCTCCAAGGTATCTATGCATGAAAGGAAGAATAAATGATGCACATAAAATTCTGCAGAAGATAGCTCTTCTGAACCAATCTGAACTTCCTCCTGGGATGCTTGTTCCTGATAGTACAGTAGGACAGGAAGAAAAATCTGCCCCATCAAAATATACTCCTCTTCTATCTTCAACCAGAAAAGTGATTGTAGATTTTAAATCTGTCTTTTCATCATTTTTCTTGCTTTTTTCATCGAGATTAATTCAAACAACACTGCTCCTATGGGTCTTACTATTTGGAAATGTATTTTCGTATTATGGTATCATACTGCTGACCTCAGAGCTAAGTAGTCAGCAAGGCAAATGTGGCTCGACTATCTTGAGCTCAGAAAATCTCCAGAATGACAGCCTCTACATAAATGTGTTTGTTACTAGTTTGGCAGGTATTGCATGCCTAGTCTCCTCTTTCGGTACTTCATTCTGAATTGTGTTATAAGAGAAACTGACATTTAGTCTTCAATTTTTTTCATGCACTGTACTTATTTCCTTAAAAATCTATATTGTAGAGCTTCCTGGGCTACTTTTATCTGCAATTATCGTGGATAGACTTGGCCGCAAGCTTTCCATGGCCCTTATGCTTGTTTGGGGTTGCATTTTTCTTTTTCCACTGCTTTTCAATGTGTCTGCAAATCTGACAACAGCAATGTTATTTGGAGCTCGCATGTGTGTCATGGGATCTTTCACAATTGCTACATTATATGCCCCGGAGGTAAATCCCTAGAATAATATATAGTTTTTCACCTTCCCTATTTCTATCAACGTGGAATGGTATCTTTTTAGAGTCTTAGACAGGAAGCATGATAATTGATTTGTTAGAAGTTTCAGGTTCTGTGCAGCTTCTCTATAGTTTTTTCTCGTCTCCGCTATCCTTTATATAATTTCTTTCCACCTTTCCATACAGAATTGAAACTGCAAAAAAGCTGTGCATGCTTCTTTTTTTAATCTGGTTTGTTGATTCTTTGAATTAATTTCCTCTCTCTCTCCAGTTATATCCAACAGCAGTGAGGGCAACTGGTGCTGGAGTGGCAAGTTCAGTGGGGAGGATTGGTGGCATGATATGCCCTCTAGTGGCGGTTGGACTGGTGACTGGTTGCTATCTTACAGAAGCTATCATTCTATTTGAGGTTGTGATGGCTATTTCTGCATTCAGCTGTCTGCTCTTCCCGTTTGAAACCAAGGGACAGGAGTTGAGTGACAGTGTAGATCATGTATCTGATTCAATACAAGTTGCTTCTTTTCGGTAGTAAATCCATCCCCCCATCATCAAACATTGCAAAAAGGGAAATGCTTGAGCTGTGCTTGGATTTTCTGTCTGATTGTTTTGGAATAGAAAGTCCGACTATGGTTCCACCTCCACCAATTCCAGGTCTAGGAATGGAGAGTGTTATGGAACCCCTGCTCTAAACTGAATCTCAAATCATGGAAGATTTTTTCTTGGCCATTTAAACCCCAGAATATATGTTTGAATTGAAATGATTAAATTCTGTGCGTTGCAAAATACCAATATGCTATTCAACAGGACCGGGGATGATGAATATTTAAGAGCTGCAGTTTTCTTTTGTAATTTGATTTACTCTTTTGAAGCTGAGAAACGGTTCAATATCTGCAGTGAAGTCAGACAGACCCAAGACGAGAAGAGACTCTGGAAGAAGGAAAACTGTCGTGAACCTTGTTAAAACGGCAGCCAACTTATCGACCGCCTCCACGTATATGTGACCCTGCAGTCAGTCCAATGGCCATCAAAATTTAGCCTGGACGGACATGTTGGCATGTACATGGTTCCATCTTTGCGATAATACACTTGTATATTGCGCACAAGATTGGCACAATTTGGAAGGAGGTCGGTCGAGCTGTAAAAAGAAATGGCAACGAAATTTAACAGAGCCCTCAAGTTGAAGATGTCTGGATGGATTTTCCCTGATATGAATAATAGGATAAACAACTTAATCTAATAATCACTCTTTAAGGAATTGAAGCAGTAAATCTTATTCTCCTTCACTCTCAGAGAAACGAAGCAGTGAATCATCAAAGCCCTGGTTTCAAAGCGCTCATATGATCTAGAAGACTTGTCTCAATAAACATGGATGCATAATCAAGCATTAAATTGATTATTTTAAGATAACGCAAAAGAGGTATAGCTGTTTGTGCTTAACCTGCCTCTTGTCATACATAGATCAGCATATACAGACAAGGATAGAGGTATATCTCTATTGAATCATAGTCTGCATAACACCGGCATCCTCTGCTTCATGGTCCAGTCCTGAAATGCTCGTCCACTTCACCTAGTTGATTTACTCGGTGGCAAGCGCTTGAGAATTCACATTAGCAGATGCGTTGTCAATAAATAAATAAAGCATTGTCCTTGCTCGGAGACACTGAAATAACAACCTTAACCTAGTTATGTGATTTTCCATTCCCTCTGTAAAATACCTTTTCTGACCTAAATGGATGAGTGAATCATTATTTCATTGAATTTCTTTCTTTCTTTTTTTTGTGAAAATATCCATTTAATTCCTGTGTAAACAATAACACAATATGATTGACTTAAAAAGACTTCATGGTCTGAAATTAACCAGGAAGAAAAAACACATGCCAATCTGAAATTAGAATAATTAAAACAACAAATTGAATTTCACTACTCTGTTTTTAGAGCTTAAATTTTCTTCTACAGTGCCCGTCATAAGCACACTACGTCCATTGTTAATGTACACTTCAAATGTACGTTACAACTTTCCTACACTTTCAAATTCTAAACAACAGATCACTGTTGGGTGTGATATCATGATTGTACAGGACTCAAGCACCCATCCTCATTGCAATATTCTAGCTCGTTGGCTACTTCACACTACACCTCATTCCTATTTCCTCACTCGTTCACTTACAAAATCTTTCTGCCTCGAACGGAAAACAAAAGGGTGTGTACTGAAAATGCTATATGGGGAAGAAAATTTCATCGTCATTCCCCTCAAAGTAACTTTGCAAGTCTTCATGATCAATCCCGCACAGCTTCGCAGCCATGACTTCCACCCAGAGAGATTAATTAATCTTGGGTTTTGGTCGTCTAGGCTTTAGAACTATATAAAGAACACCAAGAACAACCAAGAAGGCAGGAACTGTTGTCATGTCAATCACCACATGTACTGTTCTCTCTCTCGTGCAGTGAATTGGGTGAAGAATGGCTATAGTTGCATTCACTTGACTAGCAAACCTGCGACAAAAATGTGCTTCCTAAGTTCATAAACTAGCCACAGAAAAATCAGTTGTTTGCTCAGTTCCATCCAACCATGTTGAAACAAACAGAACAGGCATAACTAAGGTGATGTTTGATATACTCAAGGCTTTTATTCACCTCCAAATCCGAAACAATTGTGAAAAGGCATATCAAGGAAAGAAATTTTTAAAGAATTGTGTCCAGTAACCAAAATGGATCGGCAGCCAACAGAACCTGTCCAGCTAAATTTATGTTTCAAAAGCGCACCACACTTCTTTATGCTTGGATTCAATCAGGAAAGAAATAGAAAGAAAAGGTCAACAGTGCCTAACCTTTCAGATGCATCCTCTAGGGTATAAAGAAGTTTCAGAGCATCCATGTAACGCAGTTCTCCATGGATAGTTGAAATCTGACAAAGCAAAGTGTATTACATATAAATCAAGCAGGTTCTTCAGATATAATGGACCTGAATAGTGTAGTAGTTCAGTGAAATGTTAGAGGAACAAGAATACTTACCCTTCTCCAAAGACTAACAACATAATTATACTTGTCCATAAGTTCTCGCTCCTCAGACTGAAACATTTTGAAGGTCTTCTCAGCTGGTTTTTGTCAAGTACTTTTCCAAAGACAATTAACAATCACAGGTGTAATTACAAATACAGATGCATCTTTCCAAGAATTCATTTATATTTCCTTTTCTTTTCTTTACTTTTTTTTTTTTTTGAAAAATCAACTATGGAAATTTTTTGAAGTGCCAGCCTTAAAAGGTTCTGTTGCAACTCCCAGAGAAATGAAAGGCAGAACCTTGTTCTATTAAAACAAAGGGCAACAAGAAGCACTGTCTTGTGAATGCCAATTTTCCAATTGATAGCATTCCCTGATCATTCCAATTCTGTAATCCAGGTGGAACTTTTATAACTTGTGGTTATAGCGGGTACCATATGAACGTACAGATTGAATGCCAATGGATTCCAGATGAGTAGTGACTCCAATTGAAGTTAGGAAAATAAAAGGTAAAAACCTTGCAAAAGTTATAGAATGGTATGAGAATCATGGCTCTTACAACATGGTTATTCACATGCATCTTTCTGGTTAGTCAATTGCAACAAAACAAGGCAAGGATACATGTGCGTTCCATCAGTAGACGGCGAACGGCTGAATTGACCAGTTGTATTGAATCTTCAAGCGCTGTGATGATGTAGCTTCGAGCAATTGTATCAGACTGAAACTGTGAAACATGCCAGCCTCGAGAAGTGATTGAAAAAGGATTGCATCCCACCGACCAAACCCAATCCTGTCACATTGGTAGCCAATGTTAGCTATTCAATTAGTGTGAGAGGAGATGCAAGCTCATCTATAGAGTCAGCAATCAAGGAAAGGACAATGAATCTGAAGCATGCAAGTAATGTTCACCTTCATGTGGTGTGTGCACGCACGAGAAAAACACGACACGGAAGGTTATGTTACAGAAAAATGCCTAACATAAAACATGAAGATGGCATTCAACCATTCACAAGACATGACTGGCTAATTGGATAAAATAATTTCAATACTTCAACAATTAGATACAAGGACCATTTGGAGAAATGAGAAAGTCTTGAGCTTACACCTAAAGTACACAGGTTTAAATTTTCAAAGCAATCAAGTCATGCAAACACACTGAAGGATCAGATTTTCTCCAAATTCTCCCTCCCAAAATCCCATTTGGTCCCAATGGTCATTTTCCCACTATGGCAATTATGATAAAATAAGTGCAAGATACCATCATTAAGACAGTTCCAGGCCAATTAAATTGGTGTTTCAAAGGCCATACAAGAATGAGTATGCGAGTGCATAGTTATATAATGCATATACAGCCTAAGAAAAACTTTGAAAGGAGTACATGAATGAAGAGCAGTAAACTAATTTTAACTTCTCTTTGGCATGTCTTATGTTGCCCTATTAGTGTTCAAGAAATGCAATGCTCTTACGATATAGGAAATCAACATACTTCCAATGTTAACTTCCTAATTTGTTAAGTTTTATGTCTCTCGGACACAAACCTTTGAGGAGTTGACAAAAGATCATGCAATCTCTATCCTTTGAGGGGGAAAAAGAATTGATATGCTACATTAAACCTCATAAATTCTATCACCAACAACTGAAAAGTTCACCACAACATATCTCCTCATATGTAGCACCATAACATTGATATTGGAATTTTATCATGTTATCACATAGAACAGACTGATAACCTCTGCACTGCAAAAAGTACCTCAATTGCAGTTTCATGGGCATGGCTGTAGACAAGATGGAGGGGAAGTAAACCAGCCAGATGTTCAGAGACAGCAGCCAATGCAGCTTTTACAGGCCTCCTGGATGATGGGGGAAGGGGAGAATATAGCAATAAATATGAGTTAAGACTATAGATTTCAGTTTAAAAAGAAGAAGAATAATAAGCATACATTAGAATCCAAAGTGGATTAATATAGAGATTTCAAGCTTTTGTACTTTCATAATTAAGGTAATTTTTTTAAAAAATTGGTTTTTCTTTCTTTTGTTTTCCTTTTTTTTTTTTAAGTAAAATTTATTCTAACCAGCAGGAGCACAAATGGGCACCACAAGTTTAAAGAAGTTTCCCAGGAGAAAGAAAATCTAAAATCAAATGAAAATGAAAAATTATGCAAAAGTAGAAGATGCTAGGAAATCATAATGAGAGTGATGGGAAAGAGCCAATAACAGGGACAAGAAGTCAAGAACTGAAAAGCAAGTCCAGAAATAAGAGATTGCAAACTATGCATCAAGAGCCCCAACCCCTTCAGATACCACACATCTGCTTCTTATGGCAAATTTACAAATTATCTAACTACTGGACTAAATAGCAACAGTTGACATTAAACCAGTTATAAAAACAAAATGTGATGATCGTATTTCCAACCTCAGATCCCACAAAACTGATTTCCCATTACACTGCAGATGGCTTTCCCATGATGATGGTTCTGACTGGACCACAATAACCATGTCAGAAAGAGCCTTCGCCTGATAATGCTTGTCAACTACTAGTGGCTCGCCAGAAATGAACCAAAAGATAGGAACTTCAAGCGTGGACCTACTATGGGCATGTGCTCCTGTGTTATTTAAAGAAATTGAAAACATTAGCTTGGCATATGTCAGTGATGAGAAACAAAAATAAAATACAATTACAGGTAGGCCACAGCTAATGGGTTGAAAGGCAACAGAAAATTGACTCAGGTTACTATGTGTATCTAGCTACCCTGAATTACTTACAAAAGAATCATCTTACTAGTCTGTCT